TCCCCCCCTTTCAATTTTTTTGGGACCCCCAAGAGCGTGGGGCCCTAAGCTATAGCTTGTTTAGCTTATACGTAAATCTGGCACTGGTCCTATGTCAGGATGCAGGTTTCCCTGATCAGAAAGAGAACGGCGCACAAGACAGAGATAAGGACGTTGACTCAGAAGAAAGCCCCACTGCTTCCAACAAGATCGACACCCTAGGAAGCACAACACCGGACGATAGCTTCCAAGTGCTTTTGCAAGTGATGCTTTTTGGCTCGAAATGAGTCACTGGCAGAGGTTATTATTATTATTATTATTATGGGGTGGGAAGCAGAAGAGAGTCCATTCAAAATCAAAGCCACATTGTGGCTGATGTAGTTTTTATAGTGTGGTTTCCAGGTGGAGAAAATTCAGGGGAAACTGATTCAAGTGCTGTCTGTGAAAATGGTCAGCCAGGGTGCTGAGAAGCTATGACCATGATCTCAAGCAGGAACAGGGGAACATGCTTTATTCCAGGTCAGACTGTTGGCCCATCTAGCCTAGTATTTGTGGGAATGTTGGGGATATGTTAGGGATGTGGGTGGCGCTGTGGTCTAAACCACTGAGCCTCTCAGGCTTGCCGATCAGAAGGTTGGCGGTTCAAATCCCCGTGACGGGGTGAACTCCCATTGCTCTGTTCCAGCTCCTGCCAACCTAACAGTTTGAAAGCACACCAGTGCAAGTAGATAAATAGGAACCACTGTGGCGGGAAGGTAAATGGTGTTTCCGTGCGCTCTGGTTTCCGTCATGGTGTTCTGTTGTGCCAGAAGCGGTTTAGTCATGCTGGACACATGACCCGGAAAGCTGTCTGTAGACAAACGCCAGCTCCCTTGGCCTGAAAGCAAGATGAACACTGCAACCCCAGAATCGTCTGTGACTGGACTTAACTGTCAGGGGTCCTTTAGCTTTTTGGGCGCCAGGAGAGGATATATTGATTAAATATTATCATTCCTCACTCACGCTAGTGATCTGGTAGCAGAGTACGTTCCCCTGTCTATTGCAGGAAGCTAGTTGGTAGATTCGTTAGAATCTCTTGAGTTAACCAGGCACGTCCAACTTCCAAGACACAGCGATCTACTCCTACTATAAATAAACTGGCAGTGATCTACCCATTGGTTTGACCAGAGTTGTTGAGCTTTTTTTGGGAGGCTTCACCAAAGTTGGAGCGGTCGATCGGGATCACGCGATCGACCAACTGGACATCCCTGAGTCTGACTTGTCCAGATTGGATTTGTTCCTGATAAATTCCCATTTAGTCCCCTCTTCATAAAGACACAACAGTCTTCTCTTAAAAGTAATAAGAAGTTTACTTACATTCAGTTCACAGTAGGAAGATGGCTGCATGACCAGCCCTTTTTATGGGGTCTGCCACGGTCACACCCGTTTACCTGGTCACACGGAGGGGGAGGATGCCCCAGACAGGTGTGACAGGACGTCCTCCTGGCTAGATTAACATCCCCCTGTGGCAAACAGGAAATGTTGTATTTGACTGCTTATGTTACATCCCACAGTATTGTGCACTTTTAACTGGAAGTGTCAAGGATTAAACCTGTGACCTAAGGTAAAGGTAAAGGGACCCCCGACCATTAGGTCCAGTCGTGACCAACTCTGGGATTGTGGTGCTCATCTCACTTTATTGGCCAAGGGAGCCGGCGTACAGCTTCCAGGTCATGTGGCCAGCATGGCTAAGCCGCTTCTGGCGAACCAGAGCAGCGCACGGAAACGCCATTTACCTTGCCGCCTGAGCGGTACCTATTTATCTACTTGCACTTTGATGTGCTTTCAAACTGCTAGGTTGGCAGGAGCAGGGACCGAGCAAGTGTCAAGGACTGGAAGTGTCAAGGATTAAACCTGTGACCTACTATGTTGAAATCGCATGCTCTGCCATGGTCCATCCATTGCTTTCTTCTGCAAAGTGACTGAGCTGCCTCCAGTGCCAATTAGACTCAGAGCAGACCCATTGTGTCTGAAGTATGGTGCAGTTTACTTGTTGTTAATATGAGTTGGGAACAGAATCTGATTGGACAGCCCTGTGCCTGCTGTCTCATGTCATGCAAACTCCTGCTCTGGGTGCTCTCACCTGTGGATGTTAGGCAGGTGGATGTTGGAGACGGGACTTTTTCAGTGGTGGCCTCCTGTAATAAAACAAAAACAATAACCCCTCCTCCCACAAGCACATTTAAAAGGCTATAGAATGTTAATCAGCCAAATGCCTGGTTATAGAGAAGCTTTTTGCCTGGCGCCTAAAGGTATGTAATGAGGGCGCCAGGTGAGCCACCCTGGGGAGAGCATTCCACAAACAGGGAGCCACTGCAGAGAAGGCCTGCTTTTGTGTTTTCTACCCTCTGGGCCTCTTGTGGAAGAGAGCACACAAAGAAGGGCCTCCAATGTTGATCTCAAGGTCTGGGTCAGTTCACATGGGGAGAGGTGGTCCTTGTGGCAGTAGTTCGCCAGGGTTTCAGATGGCGGAGATTTTCAGCTGGGAGCTGCAGCCTCAAAGGTTTTCAAGGTTATATTTACAGTTCTGTTGATAAACATAGCTACCTTTGAAAAAACCAGCAATGATCAGCAAGTAGATGTGCCTGGAATCTCTCATTTCTGGCTTCTTTGGTTACTATTTTAGGATAATAAGCCTAGGAGAACCACCTCTGAATCATGACTGTGTAGTAGACAAGTGCTAATTAATGTGTTGCCTCATTAATTTTTGTGTGTATGTTGACAGAGTTGGTCAGATGCTGAGTGAGGGTCACAGGAACTGTCTCTCACTCTCGCCTGGTGCTTCATTAATTGCTGGTGATAACTAGCTGCAATTTCCTCATGTCTCACACATCATTCCTTGCAGTGGTACCCAGCTGACCCTGAGGGATATATGATCAGACACACAGATGCTTTATATCCTTCACCTTCCCTATCCGGATTTCATCCCAATAAGCTCTATCCTATCGTCTTGTGAGATGAGGTAGATGATAAGATGCATGCTGTTGCGCGGGGCCTTTTTGATGGTGGCACCAACCTCGTAGGATGCTTCCTCTGTGCAGAGCCACTGAGCTCCTCCTCTTCAGTTTTCAGGCATCTGTTGGGGCGAGGGGGGACGCCATTTTCATTTCAAGAAGTGTCATGAGAACATAATAATAGCCTGCTGGATCAGGCCGATGGCCCATTTGGTCCAGCATCCTGTTCTCACAGTGAACAACCAGGCGCCTCGAGCAGGATTCAAGCATAACAGCCCTACCCCTTCCTGTGGTTTCCAGCAACTGGAAGCTCCTGCAGCCAATCAAAAGCAGCAGAAGCCCTGTCAGACGTTTGGGTTCTAAAGAACGTTTGCAAACCAGAACACTCACTTCCGGGTTTCTGGCGTTTGGGAGTCAGTACGTCTGAGTACCAAGGGATGCAAGGTACGACTGTATAAAATGCAGTCAAACCAACAATTCATGTTTTGCTAGACAGGCACATGATAGGGGCTGAAGCTCGCAGAGTTTTCCTGTAAACTTGTTAGAGAGAACTCTATGAGAGGCACTCCCATTGCTTATCCTGAGCTCCAAGCTCAGACTACATTTTAAAGCTAGACTTAAGTATGTCTTTGTTATGGAATTACCATTTTAAGGTTGCCTGAACAAAGTTGCTGTTATCCGCTACTCTTCAACAAGTGTTCTCAGAGGGTAAATGTTATTTTTACCTTTTACAAGACTGCTTGTGTGGTTATTGTTTAAGGGGGAGAAAAGGGTGAAATACCAGGGAAATCCAGTCTGCCTTAAAGCATCCTGGAGTAGTTGTTGTTTGTTGTTGTTTAGTCGTGTCCGACTCTTCGTGACCCCCTGGACCAGAGCACGCCAGGCACTCCTGTCCTCCACTGCCTCCCGCAGTTTGGTCAAACTCATGTTTGTCTCTTCGAGAACACTGTCCACCCACCTCCTCCTCTGTCATCCCCTTCTCCTTGCGCCCTCCATCTTTCCCAACATCAGGGTCTTTTCCAGGGAGTCTTCTCTTCTCATGAGGTGGCCAAAGTACTGGAGCCTCAGCTTCAGGATCTGTCCTTCCAGTGAGCATTCAGGGCTGATTTCCTAGCCTATCTAAGCTTCCCTTTAAGCTACAATAGGATACATTCTGTTCAACTCACAAATGTGGGGAAGGAAGAATAATATCTAATGAATATATCTTCTCCTAGCATCTAATCGCATCCTAACACCGTTAGTAGCCACTGATAGCTTTTATCTCCATGTAATTATTTTCTTTTTCCTGTCTCCACCCACCCTGGCCATGCTGATGGCCCACCTCTTCCTCCTTGTTGTCTCTTCACCTGTTGGCACTCAGGACTTGAATCTGCTGTTAGACAGAGCGACGGTTTCCATAATGCGTTCACGCTAAATGTAAGAGTCCCACCCTGAGATGACGCAGCTGAATCGCAGCTCTGCACAAACCTCCACCATATTTTTTTTATTTTATTTTATTTTTATTAGTTTCAATTCACTATACAACACCAAACATTAATAAAACGAGAAAAAAACAGAACAAAAGAACAGAAAAGGGAAAAAGAAAACATTACATAACAAAAAAAAGAAAGAAACAAACAAAACGCCAACAAATTAAATATACATTAACTAAACAACACAACAATAGTTGACTTCCCTTCAACTCGGTTTTGGACTATATTACAAAAGGTTTTCTTTCGGCAGTTTCACTTTCTTAAACTCTTTACATCGCAGGTGCTATATCGAGCCTACTGTGATTTTTAAATTTCTTACATCTGTTTCAATATATGTCATAAATTTATTCCATTCATGATTAAACTTTGTACCTTTTTGGTTTCTAATTTTTTGTGTCATTTTTGCCAGTTCTATGTATTCAAATAATGTAATTTGCCAATCTTTTACAGTTGGGATTTTTGGTGTCTTCCAATTTTGCGCTATTAATGTTCTGGCGGCTACTGTTGCATATTGGAATAATATTTGGTCTTCCACCATTTAGCCTCCACTACTTCGGCAGCGATGCCTCAGTCGATACAGCACGAGACTCTTAATCTCAGGGTTGTGGGTTCGAGCCCCACTTAGGGCAAAAGATTCCTTGATTGCAGAGGGCTGGACTAGTCGATTCTTGGGGTTCCCTTCCAATTCTACAATTCAAGGATACTGTGATTCTGCATAATTTTCGCCGGCTGCAACGGAGGCCACAAAAGCCCTCTCGGCAGCAGAAGGAGAGATGCATTATCTTATCAGAAGCAGCAAGTGATTAGAGCACTGGCAGGTATCTCCCTGAACCAGCTTTGGTGATGCCTGAACATGCCCTGAGGTTCTCTCTCTGGTCCTCGCCTAAGTAATTAGCTGGAGACAGCTGCTGGCCACAGTTGGATTTGAACTCGCGACCTAGGGGAATAATTCTCTGCAGCTAGCCCGAGTCAGGCTGGGCTGGTTTGCAATTTCCCTTCCAGCCGTCCTCCTCGCTGGTGGCTTGCATGTCCTCATCCTCCCCCCCCCCCCAAGCTTTGCAGTGAATTAACGAGAGGCAGCTGGTGGTAGGAGCCTGCCTTGTGCTACCAGACAGGGAGGCTGTGGGGACCTAATGTAGATCATCTGGAATCTGTTTGCATTCAGCACATTTACATGATCTATCCTTGCGTACTCCCTACCCAAACCTCCAAACCCATACACAAACGCACACACGCCATGTAAAAGAACTGGGGGATATAAATCTTGGCGTTAGAAAGATGAGTACTGTGCCGTTAAACAGCACGCCTTTCATGCAAATATTTGCCATATGAATTGGCTTGTCATGCTACTCAAGAGCGAAAGATATTCTTTTGGGAAGAGAGGTGTGGAGAAGGGAAAAGATGGAAAAAGAGAGCCGGTGTGGTATAGTGGTTAAAGTGTCAGACTAGGACCTGGGAGGGGACGCGGGTGGCGCTGTGGGTTAAACCATAGAGCCTAGGGCTTGCCAATCAGAAGGTCAGTGGTTCGAATCCCCGCGACAGGGTGAGCTCCCGTTGCTCGGTCCCTGCTCCTGCCAACCTAGCAGTTCGAAAGCACGAAGTGCAAGTAGATAAATAGGTACTGCTCCGGCGGGAAGGGAAATGGCGTTTCCGTGCGCTGCTCTGGTTCGCCAGAAGCGGCTTAGTCATGCTGGTCACATGACCCAGAAGCTGTACGCCGGCTCCGTTGGCCAATAAAGCGAGATGAGTGCCGTAACCCCAGAGTCATCCGGGGCTGGACCTAATGGTCAGGGGTCTCTTTACCTTTAATATAAAGCTTCCTGTGCTTGAACCCCTATCTTTTGAGTGACCACTGCCTGTGGCTCAGCTCTGACATTTGGTTTCTTTAACTATGACTTGTGTACACACCATACCTTTAAAGCACATTCCCTCCTACCCCAAAAGAATCCAGGGAACTGTAGTTTGTTGAGGGCTCTGGAAATTATAGCTCTGTAAGGGGGAAACTACACTTCCCAAGATTCCTTGGAGGGGGAGAATGTGCTTTAAATGTGCTTTCAAGGTATGATGTCTAAACAGCTTAAGGTGCTGATTTAGTACCAGCTCTGCCTCTACTTTTAATGGGACGCGGGTAGCACTGTGGGTAAAATCTCAGCGCCTAGGACTTGCCGATCGTCAGGTCGGCGGTTCAAATCGCTGCGGCAGGGTGCGCTCCCGTTGCTCGGTCCCAGCGCCTGCCAACCTAGCAGTTCGAAAGCACGTCATAGTGCAAGTAGATAAATAGGGACCGCTTACTAGCGGGAAGGTAAACGGCGTTTCCATGTGCTGCGCTGGCTCGCCAGATGCAGCTTGTCACGCTGGCCACGTGACCCGGAAGTGTCTTCGGACAGCGCTGGCCCCCGGCCTCTTAAGCGAGATGGGCGCGCAACCCCAGAGTCGGACACGATTGGCCCGTACGGGCAGGGGTACCTTTACCTTTACCTTACCTGCCTCTACTTTAAAAAAAGACAATTGCATTAAGAAGCAATATAAATAATATTCTTGTAATGTTGAACCGGGAGGGGGAGAAAATGGCCCCATGCCTTCCCAAACAAAGGGTTCATATGGAATATTATGGGTTGTTCGTATGTCACAAGCTCCCCCCATAATGTGCAGGGAATTTATGGGAAGCTTATGTTCGCAAAGGCGAAAGTTAGTCCAAACCAGCTCATATCAGTCCTGCCATTGGCTTCAGAAATGAATGCTTAAGGGAGCAGAGGGGTCCTCTGGAGGCTGTAAAGCAAGCAGCTTTCGAAAGAGTGCATTTATCAGGGTTAATTTGGTTTGCAGAAATGCAATAGTTAATACTGTACCATTTGTCATGCCCAGTCTAAATTTATTGGGTAGGTCACTAAAGGGATAAAAAGACCATTAGGCATTAGCAACCTGTGTTTCAGCTTTGTACTAAATAATTGAAACCATGTGGCTGGATCCCCAGAATCACACGGTGGTCCCAATAAACCCCCTTGTTGACGTACTCATTTTGCCCCACTAATTGAAATGAAAGGCTGGATTGCCCATCGTTTTCTGGGTAATAGAACAGGCCTACCAGAAAGACTACCTACCTGTGCTTGCCTATACCCCAGGGATGGAGAACAGGTGGCCCTCCAGACATCACCACAGCCAGCATAACCGTCATGGATTGGCTGGATGCAGAGGAGTGGTGGGAGGCACTAGCTGGGGAACCCCCAAGGGAACCCCCAGGGGAAGAAGGCTCAGAGCCAGGGGATTGGTGGTGGGACGATGATGCGTGGTCAGAAGGAGAAGAGGGAGCAGACAGGGAGGAGGAGTTGTTGGAAGCTGAAGAGGCAACAGGGTTCTGTGAGCAAGAAGAGGTTGTGGCAGAGAGCAGTCCAGAACGAGAGGCAGAAGCAGAGGTTGGAGAGGAAGGGGGCCAAGAGGGAAGAGCAAAGACAGACAAGGCAAAGAAGTCTCAGATTGCTTTGGAAGGACCTGGGAGAGAAGAAGCCTTAGAGAGCGGTGGGAAGGCAGGGATCTTCAGTCCTCGCAACTGCCTCATTGGGGTAGGACCTACTGGGAGGAGTTGCTGGGCTCTCTAGGCCGGAGCTGTTTTGTTTATTTGAATAAATAAATAATTTGTTATTTATACCCCGCCCATCTGGATGGGTTTCCCCAGCCACTCTCGGCAGCTTCCAAAAAAAAGATTAAAAATACATTAAAACATCAGTCATTAAAAACTTCCCTGAACAGGGCTGCTTTCAGATGTCTTCTAAAAGTCAGATGGTTGTTTATTTCCTTGACATCTGATGGGAGGGTGTTCCACAGGGTGGGCGCCACTACCAAGAAGGCCCTCTGCCTGGTTCCCTGTAACTTCGCTTCTTGCAGTGAGGGAACCACCAGAAGGCCCTTGGAGCTGGACCTCAGTGTCCGGGCAGAGACACTTTTTCAGGTATACTGGGCCGAGGCCGTTTAGGGCTTTCAAGGTCAGCACCAACACTTTGAATTGTGCCCAGAAATGTACTGGGAGCCAATGTAGTTCTTTCAGGACCGGTGTTATGTGGTCTCAGTGGCCACTCCCAGTCACCCGTCTAGCTGCCACATTGTAGTTTAGTTATAGATTCCGGGTCACCTTCAAAGGTAGCCCCACGTAGAGCTTAACTTCATTGACACCTTATGAGCTATTGCTGACCTGCTCCCGATTCCCAATGGGGAGGATGGGATTCGTAGTCCAGCAACATTTGGAGAGCGACTGGTTCCCCATCACTGCTGAGCTCCGAAGATCTCCAGCAGAGGCCTTTCTTCATGTGCCACTGAAATGTGGCAAGTGGCTACAGGGTAAAAGGCCGACTTGGTGTTTGCACCTCAACTTTGGAAAGTTCTCTCTAGGGAGGCTGCAATGGTGCTTACCTTGATGCCATTTCAGCATCGGGCAAAGGTCTTCCTCAGCACCCAAATCCACGAGGGTGCTGTTAGAATTATGGAATCATAGAATTGTAGGGTTGGAAGGAACCCCAAGGGTCATCTAGTCCAACCCCCTGCAGTGCAGGAATTTCAGCTAAAGAATCCATGGCATCCAATCTTTGTTTAAAAACTTCCCATGAAGGACAGTCAACCGCCTTCTGAGGGAGTCCGTTTCAACAGCAAGTTATACATCTTTGACAAAATCTTAGTTTTGGGTTCTAACAGTTCTGTTTCTAATTTTGATTTTTCCACCTGGAAGCCAATTTTCTTGTCCAAATTATATGCCTCCTGTCAGGGAACTGCCATCGGAAGGAAGGGAGGTGAAAGGACTCAGACAGGTTGGAAGAGATTCAGCAGCTGAAGAGGGAACCAGCAAGGGGAGAGAAGCTGAACTGAGGGAGGTGAAAGGGCTCAGACAGGTTGGAAGAGACTCAGCAGCGGAAGAGGAAACCAGCAGGGGAGACAAGCTGAACTGAGGGAAAGGGAGCTGGGGGATGGCTCAGAGATACTTCCAGCGAAAACAGTGGTGAGGTTTCCGGACCTCCTGTAGCGACACCCACTCCTCGCCGGAAACTGTCACGCAGAGAGTCCAGAAGACGTGTTTCCGTTAAGGAGCTTTTATGTTGGAAGCGATTACGAAAGCAACCACTGTCGGAATCTTCTAGTGACTAAGAGGAGCCATGTCAGGGGGGCTCAGTCACAGACAGAGGTTTGTGGACTTGAACAAACTCTGAGGGAATACGATTTTACGCACAAGCAGCTCATAATCCCATCACAGCATTCCGACAGTCTTTGAACGCAGCTTGTGCAGGAGACGGCATAATAATGAGCAACCCAGCAGGAACCGGAGAAGCAGGGGCTGGAGCGGGTCCAAGCCTGGAAGAAAGGTACCGGGTGTTAGAGGTCCAGCTGGCGCTGCAGACGGCGAGGCTGGAGGAGAGGAGGGCTCAAGATGCAGACAAAGGGAGAAAGCCACCCAGCTCGCCAGAAAGGTACCAGGATTGGTGCAAAAATTTGGGGGGGAGCCCAAAGACTATCATAGCTTTCGGACAGAAATGCAATATGCCCTCAATCTGCAGTTTGATGATTTCCCTGATGAGGAATCACGAGTGGCTTTTGTGATTGGGCATCTTGAAAAGGGGCGAGAGACTGGGTTAGACCCCTGATGGCA